ATGCAAATGTCACTTCAAATTACATAGTGACAGAGATAGTAGAAGAATTAGTAGTAATCGGAGGGATTAGGGTTATTTTAATGTCTCAATGAGAATAGTTTCTATGAAATGTTCGTCAGTATTTTGTCTTCGTTTTGTATTTTTTTTTAAAAAGGACAGGACTATGATGTTGAGTGGATGCACCTGCTCCATCGCAAACGATTTTGAGCCATATCATTTAAGGTATCTAACCCACGATTACTATCATATCGCGGACCCCAACCAGGTAGACTGCATCTACCAACATGGCTCAGTCCACTTGTCAGTGACTTCATGGATTTGTGCCGTGTTTGGTTCGGCCGCCCTTAGCGTTCTTCCAACCTACTCCTACACCACAAGACATCGCTCTTCGAGGTAGTCAGTGGGTAGGCACACTTAACACATGTCCCAACCACCTCGAATAATGAAGTTTTAATACTTCATCTATTGATCGGCCATCCTTACCAGTCAGATTGAATTAGGTCCAGTTCCCAGATCTCAGTCAATCTAACTGCTAAAACTGGACCAACATCCTTAAAAATCTCAGGAGTCAATCTATCAGGACCAGCTACTCACCCTCGCTTCAGCTTTCCTACAGCTTTCTCAACTTCATAAAGACCAGGAGGACTTACATATATTCGCCATGACTGAAGATCGTGGGTAACTGAAGTGTGGCTGAAGTCCAGTTGAACTGGTCCCTAAAGTGTTCTGCCCATCCATCCAGTCTCCTGGCTTGAGAATGGATAATAGTCCTATCCTTTTCTGAGACAGTCTCACTCACATTCGGATCGCTAATACCGGTTTCCTTGATAAGGCGGAACAACTGTCTGCTGTTATCTATCGCCACTACTTTTTATCGCTCTTCTTTAGCTACCCACCACCGTCCGCGATCATTGCGTACGCTTTTCATCAGCCTGCGCTTAAGCTGACTCCGCTCTTCATGTTCAGAGTCAGGTGGCATGAGTTTATGAGCGCCTATCAGTTCGATAGATGCCACTGAGTTCCATGGCCTCTCTCTAACCTTATGGTTTACCTTCCTAGGTATCACTGATGTATCCAGAGCCTTTTTTATATCATTCCAAGTTGCCTACGGATGGGAATCACTTACATGGTCGCCTAATTTTCTTTCTAGTTGCTCCTAAAATATATTCTTAGCTATTCTATCATTATGTAGAACCCTAAGAGGCTTCCTCGCCGTGTTTTTCCTACTTCCAGTAAGTCACAAGCAAATACGCGCTCGCACTAGGGTATGATCTGGAGCTAGACATGCGCCTCAGAACGAGCGATAGTCCTCTTTCAAACCACTTCATCGCTGGCTGATGTCAATGTGGTCTAGTTGTGTCCAGAGTTGTGACGACTTTGGATGTCGCCAGGTCAAAAGATGTTTTTCCTTATGCCTAAAGTTAGTGTTTGCTAGAAATAGTTGGTTATCTGAGCACAGTTGCAGCAGCAGGTCGCCATAATCTGTTCGATCAGCTGCGACACTATAACATCTACCCACGTGTCTCGTTTTCACTTAATCTATCCACTTGAGCATTAAAGTCACCAGCCATTATAACTATATCAGAACGCTTAACTTTTTGGAGGAAGTCCGAAAGCTTTCTGTAAAACTCATCTTTCACCTCATCTGAACTGCAGTCAGTGGGGGCGTAGGTGGAGACAATGAAGAGGTAAAGGTGAGTGTCTCTATCCTTCCGAGACCTTATTGTCCCGTTTAGTCGGACGGCGCACAAGCGATTATCTACTGAGATCCAGTCTAGGAGAGATAGTTCAGCCATACGACACAATGTTATACCTACACCAGCGAGATGCCGGGAAGCAGGATCAGGGCTTCCAGATACACGAAGCGTAAATCGAGTCGGTTCTTTATTTGACAAGGTGTAATCAAAGTGATTTTACTAGGATCTTGTATGCATGTTTCGGAGACGCAGCACACATCGATGGTGCGAGATCCTAGCTAAGGAAGCCTGTTGCCTTATTCGACACAATATCCGAACATTAAATGCTAAACATGTTATTTAGAACGGGGTTTCAGGAGACCAGGGATGACGTTTCGTGTACTCGCATCGTTTGCATTAGCAGTACGAGGTGATAAAGCAATATAAGAAGGGTGAGAATTGGAGATCTGAGGCAAAATGATGACTTTTCACAGAACTAGTAGTCAACTTCGTAGAAATAAATAACTTAACAGATCATTGAAATAAGCACTTGTTTGTGTAATAAATACTTAGTCATATTTCAGATAGCATATAATTGATCAATTCTAGTACTGTTCATAAAACCAACATGCTCTAAATCTTCTTTTGAGGCAGTGTGACAATCAACTGTCATACATATATGCACACTGTTGATAGGCTAATTCAACTGAATCGCACAAAACAACTGAGTTCTATGAGTTGTTATTATAACTAGCGAAACTATTACTAGACAAAAGACAACTGCCTCCTATTACACTAAATAAGGTTTCACATCAGATGTAACCTCTCTGGACATGAGAAAAGTAGAACTTGACAGTTGTTACGGCTACTCCGAAGTTGCACTGGCTTTTTAGGTACTCATACCGACGAATTTTGAGCTAACATAACTTACTGCTCTGATCACCAAATGTTGGTAAAAATTACCTGTGATTCTGAGTCGGACATTTTTCGAATTTTTTTTTTCAGATTCAAAAACCTATAACACATACCAGTGGAAAAGCATTATTACCGAATACTGGCACTGATGGATTTACCTAATATCTAAAACCCAGGAGAATTCTAACTCAAATTTTGGTCTACGAGCTTACATGTGGTATGGTGACCCGAACTTATGTACGTACGTACGATGTTCTACACTGTAACTGACTGAGTGTGAGCTTACATAAAACAAAATTGGAACAAAATACTTCAGAGTTTGCCTAAATTACTTTTTCATGGAGTAGATGAGAAAAGAGAGATAACAGCTCGTTGTAAGATCAGGTTGTATATTTCTAATGAATGTTAGTCAAACAGTTGCTTTATCATATTTTTGTACAAACGTACTTGAAAGCCATCTTCAGACTCATTAGTCGTTTCTTCGTATTTTACCCATCGTATAATACAGCCAGTCACTTGGTTACGTGTCAACAACTTCCTAGTTTTATATCTGTCGGGACTTATGAATTATGATGCGTTTAGATTGTGTATTTAACTTGTAAAATCACGTATGGTGAGTCTAAAAAAATAAGAGATGCTTCTAAATATTTATCCAGCCTTCTGAATGAAGGTGTCGGGATGTAGTATAATTTAACGACTGTGTAACGACGTAGTAACCAAGTTAGTGGGGCATAGGCACGAACACGACAAATGCCAATCGGAAAGTAGTTCGACACTGTTATTTCTGAAAACGAGCTGAATAAAGCGAAATACATAAATACTGCTTTTATAAAATCACATTGTCATACACTTTCATACAACTGTTTGTTTTGATTAACTGAAATAATCGAATAGTAATAAACGCACAGCAATTATTCACAGATATTCACACTTTATTGCATACATATATATACAATTATGAAAATAATATCATTTCAGTATAAAATAGGACACATTAAAACCAAATGGAACATCGGAAGTAAAGTTATGTACACTTAAACTGAAGCAGAAGTAGCTGATCAGTGATTGCTTTTTGAAAAGTCCTATTCATTTAGAGAAATTTTTTTTACCTATTACAGGACCGGAAGACAATTCAAAATGGAGTTTCTTTTAGGGGAAAATAGAGAATCTCGAGAAAAGAACTTAACAGCTATTACTTTCTATATTTGTTACTGGTTTCGATGATTTATTATTTGACTCGTTGAATGGACTACCATGATCCCCACACTCTAGCTTGATCTCGGCTCTTTCTGGAATTGCACTAGTCTCAAACTGATCAAATGGTTTATCCAGTGAAACACTAGATAAGGAATGAATTCGTTTACATTTACGTTTATCAGTTTTAGAGTTACTGACATATCTATACGAACCATGAAGTCCTCTTTTGCGCATCCACGTAGGAGTGATTGAATGATTGATTGTCCTGTCATGACAATCATTAGATGTATTAGGTATCCAGACACCACACTGTTCATGTGCTTCTCCTTTTGATTTCTTTGGAATTTGAACCAGTGAAACTTGTTTTGAATTAGTCTGAGGAGATTTACGATTCCAGCGAAACAATTTCAATAATCCATTACTGAATCGTATATTCTTATTAGGTGAATTCGATTCACAAGAGGAATTAAGTATACTGGAGCCATTCACCTCAACATGAACTAGATATTCTAGGCGGATAAGATATTCTTCATACAGTTCACAATCATTATGTCCAGCTCCACGAATAAACAATGGTTCCAAAGTATTAGGAATACGTTCATACAATCGCTGAGCATGCATCCGATCGATCACTTCATCTTCAGTGCCATGAATAATCAGTGTTGGTGAAATAATCCGAGGAGCACGTACATAGCTAATCATCAAATAAATCCAAGGATATGATCAATATTTAGTTTTATTTTTTAAATATAACGTACGAAATAACAGTAGTTGAGTGAAAAGGAGAACTATCTGATGCATGGGTAGTATGCGTGAATAAGGGTAAAGATGAAAACAGTGAATCGATGAGATTAAATAAAGTCAAATAGCTCTAGTGAATTATCATTAAATGACAAAATTACCTATTACCATGGTTAAAATAAAATAAACAACACATAATAGTGATAATTAAATTGAAGCTTACATTACTATCTGAACTATGCACAACCGCAGTGATCGTAACTGCCTGTCAAAAATAACTGCATAATTGAACTATTTCAAGACTATTACATAGTTAACTTATCACTCACTACTTTATCTCAAATACATAATGTTAATTCGCCCTAACTTACATCAAAATTTCATGCGAAATTGGTTCCAAGTGTAATTGTAGTACTCTATTTAAGAACGGAATAAACAATCGTGTGGAAAGAATATTTATAGATAAGGTGGCGCAATAACAAAAACACAGTGAGCTTACACATATATATATATATATTTCGTTAAATAAAATCAGCAATTCATAAGGAACATTTATAGAAGTATTGAGATATTCTTTTTTTAAAATTAAGCATATGACAGTTATTTGTAAAATCAAAGTGATAACATTGAGAATACATTTCATTCGCCTATAGTTAACAGTTCTGAACAAATGAAGTATCCGAGAGAGAAAATAGCGATTATATACATTGAAAATATTCACATTAGTTGTTTTGATTTGAAATGCATAAACTATATGAAACTATAAACATATGAAATCAAAAAGTTTGGTACATGGCAAATTTTTACAAGTAAACGAAATAAGTAACCTTAATAACGAGAAAACGAGAGAAATCAGCAAAAAAAAAAGAAGTAATGACTATATATAGACATTCTATATGATAAGAAATAATAATAATAAATACATTTGAAACATATGAGTAACATTGTATTTGTTACAAATAACCGGTATTCTAACTTCGGCAATAAGACAAAATCATAAATACGATACAAATTCATTAAATTCACTAAAGTGGAATTAATCGAAAGCCAAAAACAGGTTGAATAACACTGAAATAGAATGACTGATCTTATGTATGTGTCATAGATTTAGAAAATTCTGAGGTTACTATGGGTCAACAATCAGGTGAGCTTTTCGCGGAGCATTGTTCGGTTAGCATTGGATGAGAACTATCGAATGTTGATGTGGACCCGAATTTATTAACCATATTTTCCAGAAGTTCGTTGTTGAGAACATGTGTTACTTTTTCAGGGGAAAATTCACGTGGTAAAGTCCATACTTTTTTCGGTATTTGTGAATGACTTTGATCAATTTCAGTTTCCAACAGCTTCGATGTCAGCTTTCGAGGTAGTGTATTTATTTTTCCGTTTTTCTGGGTATGCAAAGACCACAATACTTCAGACGATCGGAAAAATTCTGAATCACTGTTTGTAGGTGGAGGAGGAGGTGGTGGAAGATTAAGGTCACAAACGTCAGATGGAAGTGAGTGCAAACCATCAAGAGAAACGTTAGGAAGACAAGCAGTTGGAACTACCGAAGATTGAGAAACGGCAGTTTCCTTTTGATCTGTACATTTCTCCACAGCAATCTGACTTTTTAAATGCACATCGGAATCACTGGGGCATCTACTAACACCAATCAGACAGGTGTTAGTATCATCAACGGACTCAAAGCATTTTTGTGATGACAGTGATGAGGTTGAGCTGGTTTGTTGAGAATGAATAATTTTATCAGGATATAACTGTTCACAGACATTACTTACACTGAGCCTACTAGACTTTGAATCTGAAGTTAGATTCCGAGAAGGCTGTGAAAAAAGAGCCTTTGTTGTCATATCTTCCTCTCCTCCTATTGTGTTACCATTCATGCTAAAATACCCGTGAGAATTTAGTGAAACCGGTACAGAATTAGAACTAGATAAATCTGTCTCATTATCTTCTTTAACTGTTACTTTTTCCAATAGTTTAGATGATTCTACTTTTGTATCTTCTACTTCATACAAATTTTGTGAACAATTAGGATTCAACAATAATCGAGGCAATTCCACAGTAACCAACTTAGTTAGGCGCAAAAGATATTGAGGGAAAAGTTCACAGTCATTATGCCCAGCTCCATCGATGAAAAGAGGATCCAATAATAGATGACCTGCCAGAGCAGAACATATGCGATAACCATGAGTAACGTTCACAACCTCGTCACGCGTTCCATGGATTACTAATGTAGGTGAGATAATTTTCGGTGTACGTGTAAGACTGAGTCCATGCAGAAGGCAGCAATCATGTTCAGTTAACAAAGAAAATGTTAAGATAAAAAATAAACTGAAGTAAATTCACAAATAATAGGGTTTTAAATGCCATAAACTTTAATAACAGTTTACTGACCACTAGTAAATGTGAAAAGAACTACACTAGATTACAGGAAACATGGTACATAATGTATTGTTGAACTATCCAATGATCTTCGTTTCTGACTTCCTTTAGGTAGTTTATCTGGCCACTGAACTGTGGTAAGACTAACTAGACCCACAATAGATTATCATTACGTCCATAAAAAACACTTATTGCCACTTGATTTAGCCGCACCTGAGATAGAACAGACCAACTAAGACTCATGTAAGCTTGCGTCTCTGTGCTGATGGGGCATGGCAACCTGAACTGATGTACTTACGTACAAAGTTCTGTGTTGTATCTGTCATGAAAGCTTCTGAAGACCCTAGGGTTAAGGAACTAACAAAGCTCTTAGGTTTTTGAAACTAGTAGAATGTAAGGGGATCCCCAAAGTTGATAAAAAGTAACCCAGTAACATCTATTATACAAGGTGTATGATTTAGTTGACTTAGTTTGAAGTTATAGTTGGAGTTTACGCGATAACGGGAAATATGTTCAACATTGATAACAAAGTTACGCTACATCTACAGCTTTATTTATTGCTTACTAAAAGTGATTTTGAAGATAGTAGTAGCAACTTGAATAGTCCTTCGAACCGACTGATTCGGCCAACTTTGTTTTTGAGTAGAAAGAGGATATCGATTAGATGCGAACCCGCGGGTATTATTCTACGCACACAAGTCCATTTATATGATGTTATAAGAAAAATGTTTTAAAGTTCTCCTACGAACCAAGACTATCAGCTGAAAACAAACTCGGTTTACCTAATACGATAAAAATTTTAACAAGAAATATCACAAAAAAAATTTTTCCAAACATTTGTTGCTGATTTGAGCTTTTCGAATAGCACTTCTTTACAAGTACGGGAAAAAAGAACAATATGAGTGGATCTGAAACAGGGAGTAAAAATGAGTGTAACATCGATAGCGTAGCTGACTTCGACCGATATTCCATGTGATCCCAAAACATTTCGAACATTTCCAGTCTGGAAGTCAATATCATTTTATGCGATCCATACTAACAATTAATGACTGGCTATCCATTTTAGTCTGACCACTGCTGGTTTTATTTAATTAGCTTTAAACTAAACAATATAGTACACGAAGAAATAGCCTTAAAAGAATGACAACCTTATCAACCAGTATAACTAAATTATGTCATACTATTCATCAAATACCTCCACCTTTGTAAAGGACTACATGATATACTACATCCTTTTATGATAAAAATGAATGAGAAGCTAACGATGAGTTCCGAAATATGGTAACTGCAAAATGAGCTAAAACTTACTTTGAGAAAACATCACAACAGTAATTACGTTTCAACCTTGGAAAAGCTACTCTCAACCCAGACATCAAAGGTGAATGTAACACAACAGCAGCAACTCGATGAAGAGTAGCCAAATGTATTGTAGGTACAGTCCCAATGCTTTGACCATACAGAACAATTTGGTTTAAAGGGGTAGAATACTTCGTTTTTAAAACGTTCAATGCACATTCAGCATCAGCATACAGGTTTTTTTCCAAAGGCTTTCCAGAAGACATTCCATAGCCTGAATAATCGTAGCACATGATGTTGACATTTAACTTGCTTCCCAATTCATACATGAAGTGTAACATCAAGCCCAAGTCAACAGCATTGCCATGGCTTAACAAGAATGTTAGCTTGGATGAAGGATTTATAGGCATATAAAGAATTGCAATATTATTCCCTCTTCTTGTTGTAGCTTTCAATGACTCCAAGTTTTCTGGGACAAAATGTATGAATGAGTCTTTGAGGTATGAAGCCAGAGTAAAACTGTATGAGGTCTGTCCACCATCGACATGTTCCGTCATTTTATAACTGGGAGGTGGAGGCATAAATGCCAACTTAGCTGCAATTTTGGATGGTAATGGAGGACAACACAATAGCTGACAAATACTGTTACAGCTTAAGTCATTCATGACAATGTGGTGGACACAATTCCACTGAAAAACAAGGATGTGTCACAAAGAAACTTGTTCAATGATTTTCTAGCATAGTATCAGTAGGAAGAGTTTGTTGCTAAATACAATGAACAACAGTGGTTCACCCAACTCAAACATGGCACATAATCACCGTCCGAAAAGTTCAGTCATCATTGGAACACTGTAATCATCGGGTTGACCTTCAGTTTGTTTAATAATTGCTGCTTAAATTTAAAAATTTGAATAGCCTAATAGAACAGATATCTTTAAGTATATACAGCAATTCGTGCTTCACTCAATATGTTCAGTAAAATAGAAGAGCTGAATTTACATCTTCAATCCTTTATATGTCATCTTGGAAATTAAGCTGGATTCAATGTTCACTCAACCTAACCAGATAAACGGACTGACACATTCTAAACAATGTCAATAATGTAATTTGAGGTCCTGTCTGACTGTGTTGGTCGGTAATATTCACCCGTTAAATGCTGATGCATAAGTGACTACTGGAGTACGTATTGGACATTACTGGATATCACTGTTTAGTATATGAAATATACATGCACTTCTTTATCATACTGATGTCGTGATAGGGCAGAATATTATACAACTGGATATTTATCCAGGCGGGGATGTTTTTGAAGACTATATGATGTATGATCAGAAAGGACATTAAAGGATGAATATAGTTTACTAAAATATTTGGCCTCTCCATATCAACCTATTTCACTTTCCCATGAAGCTGTCAAATAATTACCATCAAATCATGTCAAGTGTCCAAAGTCCGAATGCTGAGAAAGGGCGAAATTCCGTAAAATGGTTCATTGGAATGACTAAGGAGTTAAAAAGCTTATCCTCAAAATGCGGGGACAAACCGCCAAATGTAACTAGAGTGATCAACCTCGTGATCTACTAATTTCAGGGATTAAGATAGCAACCCTGGAAAAGCTTATGCAAATGCTGAAATTCTTTTGAATCGATGTTAGGGGTGCATGTGTTATATATGAAGCAGTGCGAAAGATGAATATCCAGGATATGAATAATTACACTACTGTACATAGTTTTCTAATCCGACTTACAATCATAGTCATATAGGTAGGCGCTCAATCAACAACAAGCCTCATTTTCGTGCGAACAGTGGATGCTGTTCGTCGAAGAGTTGCAATACAGCTTACAAAGGTGAGCACAAGTTTGGTAAATGCTATTCGTGTGGCAAATTTCGTCCTCGTAATTCATGTACATTTGTTCATGCCAAATATTTTAAATGTAATAAAATAAACCACACCAAGTCTCTGTGTCAATGTTACGTCCCAGTTTCGCTCCTTCCTTTTGGGAAGTACGGTGTGTCGATCTATTTGCAATTCACGAACCCAAATTGATAACAAAACGAAACTCCAAAGTAGGTACCAAAGTTTATTCTTAATTCACAAATAATCGACCAAAATGTCGTTCGTCAATTACAAATAGACGACCAATGTCGTTCTAACAACATTAATTATAATAATTACAATTACCTTCAGTTTTATAGGTTCCTGGAACAAAAAACTGCAAACGAACAAACCAAGACAAACAGGAGTCCAAAATGACCGAAAATAACAAATCAAAAAGTTCATAAGTTAAGCAAAACAAATATACCCAAAAAACAGTGAAATTAATTATATTTACATCAAGGTTTTAATCAGTCACATGTCTTCATTTCTCCCGCAACACTCCCGACCAAAAGAACCTTGGTTCTTTTCACCGACAAAAATAGGTAACAACAATCCAAGTATGTGCATCACATCAATCAACAACAAACATTCAATATATATTCTACACCGGCCCACAAAATTCCTCTATGCAAAACAAGCCCTTTCTAACACTTCAATTTAGGGTTCACTCTCATCCCCTAATCCACACCGGAAGAACGAGTAGGACTTACAGCAGTACTCCTGCCCGCCCTCCAACATGGATATGACCTGTCCAGCTATGTACCTGTACCTTCCCATCCGGTCCTTGATTCCCCTATCTATCGTAGCATGACCTAACGATAGTATAAACCTTATCCAATTAACCCACATGAACATGTATAACAAGTCGTAAAGCTGGTCATATCCTATTCGGGATTTACATTCCACATCATGTGGATGAGTCGTCAATCCACCACCACTTGCTCCGAACGGCAGATACGATGAAGTCACTGATGCTGACTTATCAACAGAAGTTCTTGACCCATAGATAATGTGCAAGGGTGGGATCTCCAATTTTGACATCTCCTCGTCTCCTGAAGTCTCTAAGTGACATAAGACAGGAACAGTATCTAATTCTCTATTTCCCGATTGGATTAATTCACATTTGCTTGGTAACCGATTTTCGAACAAAGGCATACAATGGAAACCAGAAGCAAAAGGCCGAAGGAAAATGATGAAATGGATGATAAAGGAACTTTTGTTACGTCCAAGTTTCGCTCCTTCCCGTTATTGAAGTACAGTATGTCGATCTATTTGCAGTTCACGAACCCAAATTAACAACAGAACCAAACTCCAAAGTTAGGTACCAAAGTTTATTCGCAAATCACAAATAGTCGACCAAAATGTCGTTCTTCAATTTTATAGGTTCCTGGAGCGAAAACTCCCAATTAGCAAACGAAGACAAACAGAAACCAAAATGTCCGAAAATAATAAATCAAACAAGTTCATAAGTTAAGTAAAACAAATATACCCAAAAAACACAGTGAAATTAATGATATTTATATAAAGGTTTTAATCAGCCAAATGTCTTCATTTCTCCCGTAACAATAAGCTTAAACTTCAATAGAATCTGACAGCACTTTGTAGGTTGTATAACAATTGGATTGCTTTCAATACATGGGGCATGATATAGAGTAGGCAAATCACTTAGACATCCAGATCGGAACAAGATGTGTGTCTTATACTAACCGTGATAAAAACGCCTTTCGAGTAAACCCACCACATGTAACGTTGAAGTGCAATTTTGGACAGTTTATCAGTAAAACTTTCCAGCCAGTTTTAAATAGTATGACTTGAACCTATTCAAAGTACAGAAACAATGTTTTCTCATTTTTTCCAAAATTATGATAATGCTCGAGACAATATCCAAAGGCGAACCGAGAAATCAGTTGATGAGCTTAAACAAATGCTTTATAAATAGCCTATTAGAACCCTGAATCCTAATTCATTAGTGTATGGGCAATGGAAGTTGGTCATTGGGTGACCTATGGGATCCTGAACACTCCTACACTTCTAACACAAACCCTAAAAGTACCTATACTATAAGGACTAAGAAAATTAATAGAGGTTTTAATTCTAGGATTAGTAATGAGCTGGAAAACCCCGTTTTCGAGAACATGATCGTCACCATTTTCCAAATCGAGGTAACCCTCGTTAATCCAGTCGGTCACCAGGAGAAAGAGAAAGGGTGAGAGTAAGCAACCTTGCCTGACACCGATCTTCACTTCAAACGAGCTTGTCAGCTGACCTCCGTGCACGATTTTTGCAGAATTCCGTATGATGTTGTCTATTTTCCAAGGCACGCCGTAGTGTCAAACAAGCCTCCATAGTGTTTTCCTGTCCACGCTATCGAATGCTTTCTCGTAGTCGATGAAGTTGATGTAAAGTAGTGAGTTTCATTCAATTGATTGTTCAACAATGATCTGTAATGTTGCGACTTTGTCGGCACTCGATCGGTCCTTACGAAATCCAGCATGTTGGTCTCGAACTTGGGCATCTACGAAGTCCTACATTCTGTTTAACAATACCCTGTTGAAGACTTTGCCTGGTATTGAAAGAAGAGTGATGCCTCTGTAGTTCTCACATTTGCTGAGATCGCCTTTCTTTGGTATTTTGATCAGGTATCCTTCTTTCCAATCTGATGGTACTTATTCTTCATCCCAAATCTTCTTGAAGAGAGTGTGAAATATATTTGCAGTTGCTTCCACATCTGCTTTCATTATCTCTGTTGGGATGTTGTCTGGTCCTGCTGCTTTGCAGCTCTTGATTTGTGTGATGGCCATACTGATCTCCTCAATTATAGGTGCGCCAATAGTAATTGGGAGGTCGGTAGATGCTGCTTTGATGTTGTATCTTCTCATTTATGCAGCAATTTGAAATAGTCTTCCAGTCTCCCACAATGTTTGAACGTTCCACGTACCTAAGATAATGGTTTCTCTGGTTGTCAGAAGAGGCATCGGCCCCGTGACTTCCGAGGGAACTCGGCTTTCATCACGAGACGTCATAATTCTTCTTCCAACTCCCAGGGCACAGTTAAAATGGTTTGATTTATTTTTTCTGGTTAGCGCTTCTTGGAAAGTTAGCTTGTAGTTGGGATAGGGGCGCTGCCCCGAAGGTTCTACAGACGGAGTTTACACTGTAATATTATACTAAAATGGCTGTTCGCCAATAAAAGTAAGCGTTAGAAAAATCGCATTCCAAAGCAGTATATTAAATAGTTAGATATTTACAGTACTGTCGGTGTTAAAGGATAACATATAAGTACAATAGTGGTAATGGATAATTTTCCAAGGTAACGCTTTCTTTAAAGCCTAGGCTGTCTTCAAAAAAAATTATTGAGTCGAATAGGTAGAATCTATTAGAACTAGAGACATTTCAATCGACCGAGCAATTGGTATTCATTCACAATTGATACAAATAAACAACAGATATAAAATGTAAATGTCATTACAAGAAATTGTCACAAAGAAATAAAAGATTTTATTTTTACTGTGCAGTTACAAAAGCTAAAAAATAAGCATATCCTTATTCATGTCTCGAACATGTTTGGTGAAATCGTTTGGAATGTCTCATATCATCGACGTATTCCATCTCGTTTTTTACTATCTTTGTTTTCTTCCTTATCCTAATACTCAGGTTCTCTAACACTATATGTGCTACTAAATAATTACCTTTTTCATTTGTTTTCTGAAATATTTATCTATTTATCATTAGCACTCATCCCTTACTATCCCCCACATTTCAACCAACTGATCTCTGGCATGCTAACGCCATAACTACTAGTATCCAGAGACACTACTATACTAAAACAAACAATCGATGTAATTACATGATAATAAATCCGTAACTATTTTCCTAACTTACTAGAATTAGTGCGGTCGAGTGATAGGACTGTCACAGATTGAAATGGCTAAATAATCAAAGCCAAACAGAAACAACAAGAATTGAGAGCAGATAAATCGACTCGATTATACCGGCTCGTGAAAAAGATACTGGATATTGAACCAACTAAACTGTAGTTGTCAAGGCGAAAAAGTGAACGTTGCGCTACGTAAATATCGGTGGCTGGTCTTTTAGGAGGATCGCAGTACAGGACGAACCAGCTAGAATAAAGAACTCGTGTTCCGAATCTGTTTTCAAAATTACAATATCTGAGGTGAGAAGAGGTACAAACATCATTGTTTACTGCTCATGGCAACTAAAACTGTAACGAGGAGTCACTGTATACCACCACAGATTAAGATGATTTGACGAAACATATAATTCGGTAACTTCTGTCCCCGAAATTCGTACACAGCAGTGAATTCAGCAACACGACCTCCGTTTGCTACGGAAATCATCAGTGATGGACTTCTAAAAATATACTTATACCTTTCGTAGCGTTTGTAAACGCAGTTAATATACATCTGTAAAGAGAAACTTAAATCTCATTGTTTGCCTATTTTACGGACCGAACTAATAAACCCTATAAATATCCTAGATTTTTCACATTTATACTTTTGCATTGTCCACAAACTTCATTCACAGAGTTTTCATTTTTAATTGATTCAGAGTTGGTTGAAAATTTGCCATAGTCTTTTAAAGCTTGTCCCTATACTACATTTCGGCGTTCACTAACCAACCTCCAATATCTTCTGAAGCTCATTGACATTTCTGTCTGCAGTTATATTAAGTAACTACGCCTGGTCTTGTTTTGTTCTATATCTCATCTTATTGTAGCAAACTACCTATTATAGAAGTCAAAGTTAATATTTTGTTTTATATCGATCTGACTGTAGACTTAGTGTAATAATAACGAGGTCTTTTTTGCTCCATAGTATTTTTTCAGTAATCAGCACTAAGGAAACCAGAGTTGCTGATACCAAATTTGTTCATGGTTTCATATAATTCAGTATTTAAAAACAGCCGTAGTCAATATCTCCTCAAGGACCAACGTTTTATGCTTTGAAACTAAGCGGTATGAAAAGTGCCAAGACAAAGTATAGCTTTTCTCATGTTGATCTTTTCGATCATGTAACGATAACCTCAGTGAGATAAATAAAACAGTGAGACGGAAACTTATTCATTAATGAAAAGCAGTCTTGTTATAAACAACGATCAGTTAGTATTCCTACGATATAGGTTAGGGTTATCGTTTGATGTTGATAATATTTGGTACTAATTTAAATCCAACAGGCTGGATATAAACATCAACCAGCATTGTCTGGTTTAATATCTTAAATTATACACTTGACTTCAGTTTAACATTGAAATAAAAGTTCTTCAAGTCGTAGCATAGATACGTACCAGTTCCGTTTGCCTTACTTTAAATCAGCATAGTTTTGGACCGTCACGTCAAGGTAGAAGCTACTGTCACTGACAAGTGGACTGAGTAATGTCGGTAGGTGTCGACTACCTGGTTGCGGTCCGCGAGATGATAAGAATCGATGGTTAGAGACCCTGAGTGACATGGCTCAAGACCGTTCGCAATGGTGCAGGTGCATTTACTCTTTGTGTTTTTTGAAATTCTAACCTGAATTAATCATCACCTCTCTCTTTCTAAATTTGCCTCACTGAATTATACTTCTTGAATAACATCTCCGAACCCTAATGCCTCCGATTACTTCTAATACTCTTACTACCTCTACTACTATGGGATTTGAATTGACAATTAAATTTCTGTGCTAATGTGGTATGGCAACTTGAACTGATGTACTTACGTACGAAGTTACACGTTATAACTCACTGACTGACTTCATTGTTATGTAAACCACTTAGTCCATTTTCAACGTCGGATAAGTCAGCAATTTTATTTCACTGAGATGGGAAGTCCAGTTTTCTATACTTTCTCAAATATTGGAGTTAGTTCTCTATTTTGTTACTTTGCCTTTGAAGACAGTTGGGGATTATCCTTGTAGGCAATTTCTGGCGACATCCTAACGCTATAGAGTTTCTTTTTGATCTCCTCTTAGCTTGGTAGATGGGCGCCCACAAACAGTTTTTCAAAGTTAATGTGACAGTAGGACAGTTTCTTAAACGGCCTTACCAACTGTCCTAGGCGTTTTAAAAAATTTCTAATCAGCATGATAGAGACTTCACAGATAATCTTGTTAACAACTATAATCTATTGGGGAATCGTCTGATCTGTGTCAAATGAACATTCTGTCCTAATATTCGTAGAACATCTTAATCATTTTATGTCCAGTCTTTGCTAAGGCTTTGTCAAATTTTTCACAAAACAAATTTCATCTTACTTATAGTCTATTAGAGTGGATTTACAAGCTTAAAAAGGTTACTAAGAACGTACTAAAACAAAGCGTTTATGTTCAAGGATTCTGCACAATCGTAAGTAGTATTACTCAATTGTTTTTTGGTGTTGTATTCATGCAACTAACCCTCATTTACACTTATTAGTAGATTAAATGCTATAAACATAAACAGATGGTCTGTCAGTGTACTGATTTTCGTGGAATAATCATGATGAAGTAGTGAAAATTATGTGCTTTTCCTCTTTACAGCTACCCTTCGTTTTTGGCCCTATTTGAAGTACCAACGAACTTGCTCATCAGAAAACATTTATTCGTTCATTATTAATTTTTCACTGATCAAATAAAAATTGTTGGTCGATAGCCTCCATGTTTTCTCGAAGTTTACGCTCTGAAACACGCAGCCGAGCTAAAGAAGACCTAAAAAGAGTTCACAAATCACATGAACAGGTCCGAAGCTGGTAAGATTATATTTTTCATTCCGTTTATTGTCCTTCTAGCTTGATTTTCTGTCATAACGTAGGCCCTGGTAGTATATTTTAGTTCCTTTGAAAAATTTGACGCAGTTTATGTAGTTACTGACCTGATCTAAGTCGTTTGTATGAAGCAGTTGAAACGATCAAAATCATTTTGGATTGTTGTTAGTGAAGTTGAAAATCCATCTCATTGTTGTTAATTACTGCATATGCTGTTAGTTTTATAAAATACAAAGATTTTTCAATTTCTACTTATTTTCCTCCTGTCTATTCATTCTTTCATCTTATAAGTGATCTGCATATCTTTTGTGTTTGATTATCACCTAATATTTAGTTTTAATTGTGAATTATTATCTTCCTTCTGTGATAAAGGGACTCACTTATTCTCATGCCATTTTTAAATGTGCTAAATTGAAGTGTATGAAAAGTATCTTATATTATATCTTAGGTGGTATATCATACAACAAGCCAACTAATTGATTCCCCTTTTTACTTTTCACCTTTATACAACTGCCTCACTGATTTTACCGTACATACATAGATGAAACGTTTTAGGCATCGTTTATTATTAAACAGGTATATTACAATAATGTAATTTTCTGAAAATTGCCAATTATCAACAACAAACACCTTTGCCAGTAATCATGATAAATTCAGCTATTCATTTTCAATAAATCTTACCATAGGGAAAAAAAATGGGTTGCTGTCAAAGACACTTCAATGCTTATTTATAAATGGGTGCCTTCTCTTATAATCGATATGAATCATAGCAAAAAAGGCACATTCACTCGTCAATCAACTATGAATAATGCATCACATATTACTACTACTACTCCTGGTATTCTTTCATCCTATTCATGTCAACAACCGGAACAAGATAATTTTAATACAAATTCAGATAAATCTACAAATATTAAAATTGACGATCAAGATCCAACTAAAACGTCACAAGATACAACAGTTCTACCGGTTACAGGTAAAGACTATATTGTTGAATAATCGTATTGTTACTACTATTTTTTAATTATGATTTTGATAGTTTGTTGAAATTCTAAATGGTTAGAGACAATGGGCAGATAAACTGATGGCTGTATAATCTATCAGCAAGTTGTATTTACGATTTCAGGAAACGTGGTGTTCCTCAAGAGCTACTACAGTCACAGATGTTACCATGTCATAAGAATGACCTGTAAATTTAAAGTGTTCATATTAATCGGTTACTGAATAGTAACCGATTATACGTTCTCTGGTCTTTTCTTAGTGCTATTTAGATTCTATAAATCAACACAAAAATGGCACAGAAAGTTATTATCTTTCTTTTTTGTGGACATTTTGACTATATTTCTTATTGGTGATATAAATTTTGTGTTTTATCGTATAAATTGTTAAGCACTGGCCTAATGCTTAAGAAAATTGTATGTACCAGTAATTACCACATTCCAAAGTGTGGTTTATAGTCTCTAGTACACGAATCTATACTTAAATAAGACTGCTAAAATATTACGAAAAGCTAAGTCGTATAAAACTCAAATTTGAGCTAGGAAATTTAAAGTTACTTAATGTGTACAGAAGCAAGTTGTTTCCAATGTAAGTGTATCCTAGTAATTTTCAATACATTTCACTACTAGAGGGTGATGTAATAACGTATTCTTCATCATTTGAGGTGGTTGGGACATGTGCTGCGTATGCCTAACCACCGACTGCCTCGTGGTGCTATATTTTGGGTTGTAGGAATAAGCTGGACGAAAGCTAGGAGCGGCCATACCAAAACATGGCAGAAATCCATGAATTCATTGACAAATGGACTGAGTCATGTCGGTAGTTGTCGACTACCTGGTTGGGATCCGCGAGATGTTAGTAATCGATGGTTAGAGACCTTGAATGACATGGCTCAAAACCGTTTGCAATGGCGCCGGTGCATTTACTTTTTGTGTTCTCTCAAATCCTAATCTTCTGGAATTCTCAACACCTCTAGTTTTGTCTTTCTAAACTTACCTCACTGAATCACACTTCTAATCCTAACCTCTCCGATTACTTCTAATACCTTTACTACCTTTACTACTATGAGATTTGAATTGACAGTTAGATCTCTGTGCTAATTTGGTATGGCAACATGAACTGATGTACGTACGTACGAAGTTCTACGGTGCTATTGATTGATTGAATAACGTATTATTCTTTCTACGCTATGTTATCCGCTCCTATATTATCATTTATATTTTAATATTTGCTTGACCTTCCTGAGTTTTTGTACAAAGTACTTCTATAAGTATCTGATCAAATTGTTTGAATTGTATCGTTCAACTACATTAAATTATTTTGATCAATTGTCTTCGGATTACATTTTCTTTTTAGCCTAGCAAATTACTCCCTACTATCAAATTTGTACATATAACTTTCTTTTCCTGTTATTTTTTGATTTAAGATCCTTTAAAAATAGTCATAACCTTAGACTTGAGAGTGGTTTTACATGACACTTGTAAGATTACGAAATTATGAAGTATTTTCTATTAATTTGATATATGCTGTTATCATTGAACTCTTATTCCAATACTGATGGACAAAAATACATTTTCGATATTATTTACAGATGATACATGCTCACAAAAAACATCTCATATGGATGTAGAAAACAATGACAGTCAAGAAACTTCACTTAATGCAAACCATGACATTATCACGTCATCTGAACAAAAGTCCAATTCATTGGGTGATACTGTTGATAATGAAACTATTCCTACAGAACCAGTATGTGTAAAACCTGAGGTGGATGGTGATTCAACTGTTGTTAGTGAAAATAATAGTATTGTTAATAGTAATAATAATAATAATAATAATGATCAGGATGAAGCTTGTTAATCTATATTTCTTTTGTACTGATTTTTTGTGTATATGTTTTATTCATTAATAACATTTTCTAATGCATTTCATACAATATGATCTTTTGTAAATCTCTTGATAAAAAAAGTAAATGACGTATTTTCAGTTTGTCAGTGCTGTTTTTTTTATCTGATATATGCAAGCCCCCTTTTCTGACAACCAGAACAACAATTATTACAGATACATGAAAAGTTTGTACAATCTCGGAAACTTGGGGGATATAGGTTAGACGAAAACGTTTAACTTTAGGAAAGATGTTGTTGTACTCAGGTGAAGAAGAAGAAAATACCTTGTACACACAAGGATTTGAAATGATACTGTTCGAAGAAACACTAATCCGTCCGAAATCTGATGGATTGTAGGTTTTCATTATACAGTTATGAAGATTGTTGATTTTCATCAAAATGATCAATCGATGATTGTTAGACCATCATTTAAAAATCTGAAAGCACTGGGCGGTCATTTCGTTCTAGTACTGCACTCATCAGCAGTGCACATGCGCGATCCCCGCTCGTGGGAATCGAACCTAGAACCTTCGGTCTCGCCCGTGTAGGCTTAACCTCTAAATCACTAAACCGGCCTCCACGCATTCATAGCCACTGTCACAGAATTACTAACCACTGCCTTCCCGTGGCAAGAATTCTGTTTGCGAAATTTAGAGAACGAATAGCGAATATCTAGCGCCCGAATCGGGTTAGTGAGTACGAAAGGTTCACCTAGGGAAGTTGAAAAACCCTGACTACAAACCACTGATGCATCTGAGCGCCTGAGTCCGGAAGGAGCAAATAGAGTACGAACCAGTTGTTGGTCATCGACTACCATGAGACTGACTGCATCTCTTGAAATCGCATCAACAATTTCTCAGCATCATTTGATTTAGTAGTTCTCACGAAGCTGTCTAATTCAACCCAACTAACTCAATTACTGTTATTGAATTCTTTGTAATAATTTTGTCTGCGATACGAAGAGAAGTTGATGCTAAATATTCAGCCTAAGTCGATGAAAATTTTTTTGGATCTAACAGATATATTCGTGGATTTTAACTCAGCATCTGGGAGTTTTAATTGGGTGAATTATGGATATCTGTATTGGTTAGTACAGTACAACACTACTGTGTTTAGCAGGAGCACGCGCAACAAAAGTACATTAAGGAGTTAGAGAATTTATAATGACGATTAATAATAGTGAATCACTGTTGGCAGACAAAAATAACCTCACTACAGATGCTATATTTGTAAGTGAAATACCTGTGACAGAATTAAAATATGGTTTTGTAAAATGTGCTACACTACGAAGAATGATCACATTCATGATAAATTGATTAATTTGAAGTCAAGCTACTCGTAAGTAGTTTGAGTGCCAGCATATATTTTTTTATTTCGTCTCAAGAATGACGATGCTGAAATTAAATACACTGTTTGCTTTGTAAACTTACTAAAACGGGAAAATAATTTGATAAGACTTTTGATGTCTTGTTTGTAGATTGAAATCAAATAAATATGAGATGTTAATAACCAATTGAGATAAACTGACGGACTTGATTTATTTCCTTTGTTGTAGTGTTCAGACTACATAACGATTAACTTAATACAAATGATTTTGCTAAAGGCATAAATACTCTGCTTTGTAGAACATTTGAAGTATCTGTACTAATAGTTGGAGATCGTATATTCCCGTCAAAAAAATAAATGTAAAGTCTGATATATATATATATATATATATATATATATATATATATATATACCGTCATATCTACTGTTCATTGCGGAAAATAGTTGGTGATTAGAACATTTTCATAGAAATAAGTTGAGATGGCTCACAGAAGCTCTTAGAAGATCCCGATAGTCTGAAGCTCCCTCAACTCATCAAAACTTGATAGAATTTCTAGAATGCCGATGAGGCATAAGGTAATTGGATGATGAGTTAGCATCGCTCGTTGAGGATTGGATGATTTTATATGATGGTTTTCATTCTATATAATAAACTATGAATACACGTAGTTTCTCTTTAAATTTTTGACACTTAGTGCAGTAGAGATTTGTTTCGTTTCTTCAGGCTTTTACTTTGCCACTTGAGGACATTACTACTTGTCCCAGTTCCAAAGGTTGAACTGTGTATAAGTCGTTCTGTGGTGCGCTCTACTTATAAGTAGTATATGACGCGAGTGAAAACGTAATGTCTGGCAGCAGAAGATGGCGGAAGATCAAGAAAGGAAGAGCGGGAACGCAGTGGGATTTGTATGAAATTGTATGAACAGTGAAATGTCAGACAATGGATTGAAGATTTGCAAATTAACGGTTACGATATGGTTTTCCTATTTTACTAAGTAACTCTGTAATTTTCGTTAAATACAATTCGGTTGCCCTCACCTGTGTTCTCCTTCACTACAGTTCAATAGCAGACATTGCACTATATGAATTAAATCTTTAAACCAACTCCCAGTTGAGTGTTAATTAGCATGCTAACAATTACTTCTTCATAAAGATATAATAGGGATCAGAATATACTAAGTAGCTTATGTTTTGGAACCGAACTTTTGTTGTTAACAAGATTAAGGGATTATTATGATGAGATTTAAAAATATATGCTTTTAAGTATTAAAACACTCAGCAAACTGTAAAAAATCAAGAATAATATTCATCAGAATAAATTATACAAGTTTGAAATAAAAATTGTTTATTGAAATTCAATCAAATGAGACATTAAGAAAGTTAAAATGTTTATACTCTATTTTAAAACAAGAAATATTATTCTTTGCTTTTATTTAGGTCAGATAAACAAAATAATTATGTCAAACTGATTTCTGTTAGTCAGTGTAGTTAGGATACCTGGGAGACCGATTCCTAATCGGAACATATGGTTTAGGTACAAGTTGTTCTTGTTAGAAATAAAGTTTGTCAGTGTTTAAAAAATCTTTGTTCTACTGCTGATGAGTCCTATACCAGGACGAAATGGCCGTCCAGTGCTTTCAGGTTTCTAATGGTGGTCTAACAATAATTGATTGATGATTTCAAATGTTTAAAAACACAAACCTCCAGAACTCTACTCCAAAATAAGTATATTTACACGAATCCAATTTGAAGTGAACTGGACTATCCAGTTGTTGCGATTTTGGCTGAAATTTGAGCAATTTTGGTTGGTATACCTGAATCCTGAGTGGATCGACTCCAATAGACATTATGACAGATGTTAGCTAAAATAGGTGGAATGTGGCATGCAGCTAAGACTGCCAGGGATGGGGTTCAGTGCTGTTTGCTACTGTTCAGCTCAATGTATTTGCATCTAAGAGTTGACAGTCACTCCGAAACTCGAGCCTAGTACCTTTTTCTTCAAACACCGCGTTATCAGCGTAGGTTCTGAGTGCAAATATTCACATTCACATAATCCTTCTCATATCAAATTTAATTAAAACCTATACCCATTGTACAGGTGAGTGGCCATTTGAACTCCGTAGCTAAGTGAATAAAGCGATGGCGTTAAAAGTGAAAGGTATTTGATTCAAATGAACAACAACTCCAAAACATAGATACACCTAGCTGATGAGTCTCAAATGCGACGAAATGCACGTCTTGAATAATAACTTTTAGCCACATTTCATCTGTTCCATTAATATTACACAATGTTTGCCTGAGTTTTACTTTGACATAATCTTTGAACCAATTTGTTCAGTTTCAGATGTGAATGCCTTTAATTGATTGGCAACCCAAAAGTGCTATTTAGGCAATGTAAAGTGTTGATCCAAGGTAGTTAAGAAAAAAAAACGTTGGACTTAAGTTTGAGAATTCACCTTTAATCTTTAGTTCAGTAATGCTCCCTGACACATCTGATCCAGTATCTCTTATCTTCACAATCAGAAAGGTTACCATTGCACTGCTGGCAGGACTAAGATGTATTTACGAATGAGTGATCACTGAGCAATAATCAGTGTAATGTATGCCAATTCCTCACCAGTACTGATCGAAATCTCTGGATATTTAAGAGAGAAATAAATAGTATGAAATGTTTAAAATTAGATTTCCAAACCGTTTGTCATAATTCCGGTTATCCTGTAGCATAGTAATTTCCGAAACAAGATTTACGGATATTTGGATATGGATTAGTAATTAGACTGATGTTTTGTCGAGATCCATATGGATTAAAGTAATTATTCACGGGTAAAATTAAGGTTTAGATCAAACTATTTTACAAACTGAATAAAGTCGAAAACTTCAGCTGTGAAATCGAAGTCTAATTGGAGTGGAAGTAATTTGTTGCATTATTAGAAAAAACTCAACTGTAACTGGGAAGGTTTATATTTATCTGAACATATAGTCACTGATACAATGAAACACATGAATATTTATGCGCCACACAAGTGATCGAATTTGTGTGTGGGTTGAGATACCTACTACTCGAGTACCCGAATCGAAACAGGTGCTTTCCTTAGGATGCCACTCCCTTTGTCCTTGACCTAAAGGTCTTTTCCATAAGGCAATAGAGCGATTTCAGGAGATGCAGTCAGTCCTGTTGAAGTTCGTACGCTATTTTCTTCTCCCGAACCCCGGGACCCATATGCACCACTGGTTTGTAGTCAGGGTTTTCCAACTTTCCTAGGTGAACCCTTCGTACTCACTAACCCGATTCGGGCGCCACATATTCACTATTGTTCCTATCGATTTTGCAAACAGCACTCCTGTCACTGGAAGGTGGTGGTTGTGGATTTTCTGACAGTGGCTATATATAAGTGGTCCAAAGAAAGCGTTTCGAGGAGACAAAGCTGTCTCCTTTCTCTCCGTAACAAGGCATTTGGGAGCATGTAAGTAGACATTTCTATTCCAACTTTATTAAGTATAGAGCTAAACATATTTAACTGAGACCTCATACTATAACTTTCAAATGAACTCTATTTAATACAGATCATTTCTGTTTACTTTACATACAAGCAAAAAAGTTCCACGAAAACTCGTTATTCCCATTGTGTTAATACAAATACAAACATCGTAATCTCTAAAATTGCGATTTTATTGAAATGAATAAAGTGAGGTTGATTATCCTTTACAGTGTTCAATAAAAGTGAGCTAACTAAAATTTTCCTGCATTTTTTTAGTTCATCTGATTTATCCATT